AGTTTATTGGAATTAATCAACCGTAGTTGATTCTCAGCAAGTATAATTTACTCTATAACATGCTAATCCAATATTATCTGTTATATTAAGTAATAAATAAGTTAAGTATAAAGTATCATATACAGAGTGGTTTTGTTTGCCACATCTAATCAAATCAAATCAATATATCTTTATTCATGTAAGCCTATTACAGACTCTTATGCTATGTCAAAATCTATCGTCAGTTCTGAATGCATTCAGGCTAAGAAGAACTGACAATAAACTCAGATTTTATGCTTTTGAAAATGTATGTACATTTTCAAAACATGTTTATTCTTCACATTCACAAAAATACAGATTTATTAATAAACTATTACCCGCGACTTCGTCCGCGTAAATAATGAAAAAATATTTAATGACCTAGCCCAATAAAAGCCGAATAAAAAAGTTTCATCGTATAATTAGTAAAAATCACGGGATCTTACCACGTTTTATATTTATTTGCTGAGTTCCCGATAGTGTTTCAACCACCATGATCACGGGTAAACACGGGTTACCCGTGATCATGGTGGTTGAAACACTACCGAAATATCGGGAACTCAGCAAATTATACGTATAAATAATGACCGCGTCAAGTTTAAAACAGTATATAAGTTTCATCGTTTTAGCTTCAAAAATGACGATACAAAATTCCATACAATTCCATCAACAGCCTCAAAAATAAGTTTCAAGCATTACATTCATTTTACCCCCTTATGGATATTTTTCTTTACTTACTTCGAATGTCATATATATTTATATTTAATCAACAGCCTCAAAAATAAGTTTCAAGCTTCTAGCTTCAAAGATGACTGTTCTGATTCTTCCATACAATCTTTCATTCCCCTTTCAACCCAATTTTCGCATTAAAAAGTAGCCTATATCCTTTCTCTAGACTATCTGTGTTCCAAATTTCATTTAAATCAGTAGTTTTGACGTGAAAGCGAGACAGATAGACAGACAGAGTTACTTTCGCATTTATAATATTAGAAAGGATATGATTAATTCAAATTCAAAAACCCGGCGGATGTTGATAAACTATTGAGTGTAATTTAATTAATTAAGAAATAACTAACTATGCCGATAATGTTTGGTATGATAAAGTTATTAAAATTCTCACTAATTGTAGATATTTTAATCCTTAACAATTGGCAAGCATTCTTACATCTATGAATAAAGATATACGTAGGTATAAAAATCGTGGGAAGGCCTCCAGCAAGGTGGACCGACGACTGGTCAAGATCGCTGGAAGGCATTGGATGCGAGCAGCGCAGGACCGATTGTCGTGGAGATCTTTGGGGGAGGCCTATGTCCAGCAGTGGACGTCTTCCGAGCTGCGATGATGATTATGATGATAGATATCTTCTAGAGGGAAATATTTTTAATGGTAAATGTAATGGTGCACCTACTAGTGCTGACGGTTGACAAAAAAAATTCAACTCACTGAAATAATGACATAAAAAATGTATAAGTTGAGTTTCTCTGTTATTCTCAACTGTAGTAGCTAGCAGAACTGGACGGTAGGGACAGTAATTAAAATTAGGCGTACACAATGGATTGAAAGGTCTTATGTGAATAAATGATTTTTGTTTAAAAAAATATATCGGATTAATTTCGTTTATCGACTATTACCATCAACGGAAAGTTAGAACTGATATTATAATGACGTCACAATGTCGTCGTCTCTCAGACTGTCATCAAAACGTTATAATAAATTTCAACATCTCTCCGATTAATTTCGGTGTTTACCATCAGCGGAGAGGTGATGACTAATGTTGTAATTGTGGCGTGCAGTTGTCACGGCCATATCGGGCCTGGTAGCGGAGGTGCAGCAGCAGATGGACGCGAGCTACGCACAGAACCAGCAGAGACAGGTCACTGCATGCACTCCTCACGCCTTCTGCCTCATCCATTCTCCTTACCTCTCATATTTTTACGTAACTGGAATGCTAGTCAAATTGATGGTATGTGGCAACCGTCGCCCATACAGGATACTTATCCTGTATCCTGTAAGACTTCTTAAAGAGGTTAGTCCAAGTTAGGAATACTCATGAAAGTCAAGTTTGACTGATAAATATAGAGGAAATTTAACAATAACACTGGACAATTCACACAGCGCTATCTAGTCCCAAGCTAAGCTGAGCTTGTGTTATGGGTACTAGACCACTTATAAATATATATAGATAATTTAAAAAATATGTATCCTTACAAAGAAGAAATTTACCATTCCATTAAACAACATTAGCAGATATACACACAAGATTATTCTTAAAGCGCAACGCCGATACGCAGTGAGCATTTATGATACTGAATAAATATTCTCAAGCAATAAATTGGAACAAATGAAAATAATTTTGAGAATGTTCATACAAAATTCGAAATTATTATTCTGGATTTCCACTTTATTTCTAATAATGACAGTACTTCAGTTTCATGGGTATTCAACCTGACTTTCGGCTTGGGCATGAGTTACCCAATTTGTCTATCATTCATACCTCCTTCTCATATTGCCTTCCTCCAAGTTGCCTCGAGTTTTATTTTCGTTTCGCCTTTCTTTTCTATCTTTACTATTATGATTTCGTTCCATAACGCATGGATTGTTTGTTTATGATCGTGTCTGTCTGCCTGTACCTAAGTTACTACGCCTTGACTAACCTGTGTCACTAAAATAGCGAAAATCACTCTCAATGAATAAATTTCAAATTATTGGCTTCTGCTGTAGGACACAGTACAATGTAATAGTTACTTGCACCTATATTCTTATCGCTTTTAGATAAATAGATTGAATAATAAATATCTTTATATTTTGATTTAAATGTAAAGATATTTATTGTTATTAAACAGACATTTAAAATAATATTTAAGATAAGGCTTATCGATACTTGTTAAACAGTTGGATTCGTGGTCGGATCCAGAATGCAATACTTCTTTCTTTATTTTTCAGTTTCATAGGATTTTCTTGACTCACCTGCCGATAGCTTAACTTACTCTTGACTTGTGTTTTTTATAATATATGTATGTAGGTATAGATTTCAACCGTAGGTAGATTAAAAATTCACTGTAAAATGCCGTCCGTGCGAGTCCCCCAGTCTCACCTATTTCAGCCAAGCAGCTTGCTTTGAAACTGTATTTCGGTTGTAGCGTGCAAATCGACTAGTGAAATTACGTTAGAAGTGTCATGATATCTTAGTTATCTGGAATAGCAACGCATACGTGGTACTACGAGTGTCACATGATAACGTGATGTCCATAGTGCTGTTCAGAATACAAGCGTCGGTTTTCGCTTACCATTAGGTAGACCGTCAGTATATTTGATATAGGAACTTTGGTAGCAATTTATAAAGTAGTTGCTAACAAATCTCATTTGAATGAATCCATTAAACATTTTTATTCTTTCGTATACATGATGTGCAAAAAGAGGTTCGTTCGTATATGACGTTACAAAGAGGCCATAAGGTCTTATGTTATAAATGTAAATGATAAAAATATAAGTAGTTCGATTTTCGATATTCATACGAATGAAATATCGCGACGTGATATTAGGTAGGTAACTGCACATCTGAATTGAAAATACTGTCTTTCTAAACAGAAACGTATATTATCTATACCAAAATGTATTAGTAACTGGAAGAGAACTTTGGAAACTATTGAATTATATACCGCAAAGAAATGGTAACAATGAAAGCTAAGGAAAAATAACATAGTTGTATCTTACATCCAGTACATGATGGAATTACTCAAACATTTAATTTTTGAAATTAGATTTTAACGTGATAACTTTAGAGTGGATTTTACAAAGTTTGTAACTTTGGAGTTAATCGAGTATAGCAATGAATATAAAACATCGATTATGTATCAATTGTACATCGAACACAATACCATTATTATCACTACTTAAAATACAAAATAATCTAATCAAATCTAATATTATTTTGTTTAATTCCGCGCAAGATTGTAATGGAATTAACAAAATAATGTAAAGTTTAAGTAGTAATGAAACGGACTTCCGGCAAATAAAACCTAATTCGATAAAATGGTATATAACCATTACATTACTTAAATAACATACTGAGAATATTGATTGTTATTCAATAATTGTTTTTTTATACCATTACATTACTTAAATTAAATACTGAGAATATTGATTGTTATTCAATAATTGTTTTTTTTATACCATTACATTACTTAAATTAAATACTGAGAATATTGATTGTTATTCAATAATTGTTTTTTTTATACCATTACATTACTTAAATTAAATACTGAGAATATTTATTGTTATTGAATAATTGTTTTTCTTCTTAATTAGTATATTTAATTTTTATTTTACAGCGTGCTGTAGTGCTTGGTTTGTCGTTATTATTTTTAATCAGCAACAACCTTGGTGTGTACAATGTAACGCATGAGTAACCATGCTTTAGTGTTAATTTTAGTGGACTTTTTATAGATATTAGTTTTCAATTAAATTAGGTTGTGTGTAGTTTGTTGACAGTTTGAATTTTTCAAAATGTTTATGTATAGCAAGCTTAAAAATAATATGCATATAATAAATTACATTTTTGGAAAATTAACTTTACTTTTTTAAATTTAAAGTCGATTTTCCAAGTTTTTGTGTGACATTTTATTATTAAGCGTGATACAGAATTCGCTTTTTTTTTCACTTAACACTGTTATAAACTTTTTTCACCGTTGTTACCAATTGTATGACAAGATAAATAAAATACAATGATATTTTTTATACCCTAATAAGCTTACATTTTATTTCTGACATTAGTACTCGTGACTGTAACAAAAATAACTTTAGGCTATAAAGAATATTACAAGAAACAGAACTCAAAAACTAAAATATAAAAGTAAATATATCTCCTTATAAGCAGAACTGTGAAAAAAGAGTGTTGTTGTTGGCTTTGATAATGATTATAATGCAAGTTTTTACTTAATACACTACTACTATTTTACTAATAACTTCTTTCGGTTTACAGGAAGTGCAGGATAATCATGCTCGTCCATACACCAACGGAACTATATTACACAATAGTGGGCCAGTTCATATTGTAGCTAGTGAATATAGAGAGGCAACCAAAGAAAAGAGCCCCGAAACTCAGAAAGAATCTTCACCAGATTTGAAATCCACGCCAGACCCGGAAGAATCTAGTCCACAACCAATACCAGAATCAAACGAATCTACTCCAGAACCTAAAGAATCTTCTACAAAATCCAGTGATTCTATACCTGAGCTAGAATCAAAAGAACTCACTCCAGAACCAAACGAACTTATTACAAATACTAATGTCTCTAGTTCCGAAATATTACAAAAACCAGACATTACAGAACAAGAAGTAGATTTCACAACGAAAGTAGATTCAGATCTTGTCAAACTAACGGAGGACATAGTTGAAAAAGAAATAGATTCGCTTAAGAGAGCTACAGAACAGTTCTTGGAAAATGTAAAAGAGGGTGATATTTTGGCAGTTTCTGAAAATAAACAAGAGAAACGGTCAACACCGGAACTTCTCGAGGAAGCTCTTAAAGAAGATTCTCCGATAAAGAGGCTTGAGGATGAAGAAGAAATTGAGGAAGAGGAAGTGGAGGAAGAAGAGGTGGAGGAGGAGGAGGAGGAAGAAGAAGAGAATGTTGAACCGGAGAATGCTAGCGTCAAGGTAAGAATCTACAAGATATTTTTATCAGTCGAAATTAATGTTACAAAGATGAAAGATTTATTTATCGTTCCTAATAGAAAAACTCAAAAATATTAATCCGATTATAAAACATAATTCATGTATTAAAATTTGTAATAACTGAGGGTATATTTTTCTCTAGCGGCGTTGTTGATGCATTTAATAAACAACAACAGACAAATAGGACAACCAGACTCATTTATAAACTATTTATTGAAAGTTGTAATTATTTGTGTATTTTTTATGATAGAGACATCCATTTAGGTATAATAGAATTTTCTGGAAAGTAATGGAAGGGCAAAGCTTCTATAATCTGATCTTTAAGAAAAAGAGCTATGATAGAGCTTTGACAAGGAAATTTGAACTGGGATTTAGAAGTACAGAAGTACAATGCCATTTTATTTGATGTGGTTGATGAAGTTAGTCTTCACATTGGAGTTACATTATATTATAAAAGGAAATGGCTTTCACAATGATGCAAAGAGTCTTGTGTTAACTTTTTCTTTTCTTTCCAAGAAAGGAAATCTTTGAAATTCGATTATGTTATATTTGTTAATATAATTTTGAGATTTGTTTAGCCTACGCTAAAGATAATTGTCGCATAAGCTTTTGTCACTATCAGAGTCGTGGCGAATGGCGAGCTTACGAATGTATGGTGATGCATTTATTATATACACGTTGCAATCTTTTCTATTTTTTATATTAGATGTAAATATATAATTTGTAGTTTAAATTGGAATAACATGTTTATATTTTCTTACATTATTTTGATATTTCACATTACTTTAAATAAAAATTGGACTCTTGAAACCTTCAAAGATTTCTCGTTTTAAATTTCAATTTTATAAAATTACAATTTTATATTCAGTTGGCTTTGATTCTAAAATACCATCAATTGACTATAATTTTGTGTCCAAATTTTGTACAGAAATACTTTTATATAAAAAAAGAGTTATGATATTTTAGTTGCTAAATATATTTAGAAAAGATTGACGATGTATCCTTTTTCAGAACTTGCTTCTTCAGCTTTAAATGACTACCGTATACAACAATATAAAGTTACAGTTCTGCTCTATGATATATCCAACAGATTCACTATACTTGATTTTAAATAAATTCAATCATGAAACTATTTGCACACTGCTGCTTTCCCGCCGTTTTAGTTTTTTAAATCAGCGTCATTTCGAAATTTGATAAAAAAATAGCAAATGCAATCATTTCACTATTTGCGTTTATAACGCAATGTTTTATGAGCTAGTTTATAATAATAATAATAATAATCTCAGGACAATTCACACAGCGCCATCTAGTCCCAAGTTAAGCTAGCTAAAGCTTGTGTTATGGGTACTAGATAACTGATATAAATACATAGATATATTTTTTTTTCGTAAATACATACATATTATACATAGAAAATACCCAGACCGATACAAACAATCATACTCGTGAATACAAATGTTTGTGCCGTGCGAGGTATCGAACCCGCGACCATTGGATATAAAGCGGTGTGCTGGACCGCTATACCACCAAGGTCGTCAATTATCGTAAACCGAACCGATGAAATTATATCCACTTTACGAGTAAATGCATTAAAAAATATTACTTAACCACTGTAACGTTATAATGTTGTATGGGTGTCATCATAGACTAATATAGAGCGAGGGCAGATAAACAGTAGCGAATAACTATAGGTGGTAGGCATGGAGCTTACCGCGCATGCGGCGGACGGCAGCTTGTGGCCGCGTTCGTCGGCCGCGCAGGCCAGTTCACCACCGGCCGCGCCGCGTCCGATGGTGAGGCCGCTCTACACCGTTCACATCATACAAACTCTTTACGATACCACTTGATGGTTTCTGCATGCGTCGTCCATCCATAGATTATGCCACAATTCAGTAATCCTCACCCCGCACTACGAAATATTCAAATTCAAAAATAATTTAATCATGTAAGACATTTTAGCCGCTTATGAACGTCAATTTTTTGTATTATAATTTTTCCCTACCGTCCAGTTCAGTATAAAGATCAAATTGAGAGGAACTGTTAAGAAACTCTATTAAATTACTTATTTTTTAAATCCCAGTTTATTTACAACGTATATTTATATAGGTGTCTATGTCAAAGTGTGTTTATTGTCAAGTGCAAACATATTCATGAGTCTGATTGTTTATATCCGTCTGGATTTTTCTATATGTAATATGTATATATTTATGTATTTAAGGAAATATATGTATTAGTTGTACCCAAAACACAAGCTAAGTCTAAGTCTAAGTTTACAAAAAATATTGTCCTCAACCAAAACTGTTAGCTATTATTATTATTTAAATGTGATAGCAATAAATTGAATTGGGAGGGTCCCAAAGAGCGGCAGGGGTTCCAAACTTCATAATTTTTACACAAAGTTTATTGAGTTCTCCAACTTATTGTTATATAATATCACTCTTTGACAACTGCTTCTATCTCTCCTCCTTAACGTGTGGCATCATTTATGGATGGTCTCTTATAACTTTCAATTATTTGTAGTCTCTCGGTGTTTGATCATATTCTATGTTTTAGTATTTCATAGTATAAAATGATAAGTATGAGTAAACACAAGCATGACTGTGTTAACTCATCCTTATTACTTCTAGTCTACTTCAATCCCAATTAATATACATCATTTGATTGAATTACCTTCTTATTTAACAATTATTACTATTAATTTCTATATTTAACATAGACTCTAACTTATATAAATATAGTAGTGTCTATATGTTAGTATATATTACATACACTCGTAGTGTTAGATAACATTCCAAAGCACCTAATGTTCACGCTCAATGTTGTAATTGCTCAATAATTATTAGATATTTCATATGGGTCTCGCTATTTACTTTCAACCAATGTTAAAGGACTTATCATACCAACCCTTATCGTTCTAAAAAGCAGCATATGTTCCTGAGTAATACCTGAAAATCAGGGTATTGTTGTCTGTAGAAAACAATACACTGAGGTGCTACCTTTTTTACGTATGGGCGATGCACACACATTACGTTACTCACACGTTTTTTATACTATATTGTATATTGTTAACTGCCCAATGTAATTGTGTATCTACCTCTTATTTTTTTTTTATATTACTGTGCCTTCTGTGTATCTTTAAAGAACTGGTCTCATTAAGGAGGATATCGTAGTGATACTATATGATGCTGGATTATGTGATAGGGTTTTATTTCGATTCAAAATAATGTTCTTCTCTTAGTTGCATGTTACGACATTTTTAGAATAAAAATGTTATTGAATTGTATTATACATGGACTAAAGTTTACAAGACTGGTACATCGTATTACTTACATTATTTTATTTTATTTTTTATACTACGATGGTGGCAAACAAGTAATTGGCCCATCTCAATTTGTGAAGGATGGAGACCAGGACGACGAGCAAAGAAAACGACACCGGTATAGTCGTAAAATATTGTGTAATTCCCTTATGTCATATAAAAACAAAATAATATTATAAAAAACATAAATAATAAAAAAGTTTTATAAAACAGTTTCCAACACAATTATTAGACTAGAAGTAAGAAAAGTTTGTGCGGTTTGAAGGTAGTTATTACTATTAATTAATATAAAATATTGAGTCAGTTAACTTAAAGTTATAATAATAATTAGCCCTACAATGAGAATTGTGATGGGTTAGTACATAGCGAAACTCATATAAAATGAATCAACGAAAAGACAGTACAAATGAAACTGCTTATTTTATACAATTTATTATTATTTACAATTAAATTGTTGAGCCAGTTAACTTAAAGTTATAATAATAGTTAACCCTATTGTGATAGTTGTGATGGGTTAGTACATAGCGAAACTCATATAAAATGAATCAACGAAAAGACAGTACAAATGAAACTGCTTATTTTATACAATTTATTATTCTTTACAATTAAATTGTTGAGCCAGTTAACTTAAAGTTATAATAATAGTTAACCCTATTGTGATAGTTGTGATGGGTTAGTACATAGCGAAACTCATATAAAATGAATCAACGAAACGACAGTACAAATGAAATTTCTTATTTTATACAATTTATTATTATTTACAATTAAATTGTTGGGCTAGTTAACTTAAAGTTATAATAATAGTTAACCCTACAATGATAGTTGTGATGGGTTAGTACATAGCGAAACTCATATAAAATGAATCAACGAAAGGACAGTACAAATGAAATTTCTTATTTTATACAATTTATTATTATTTACAATTAAATTGTTGAGCCAGTTAACTTAAAGTTATAATAATAGTTAACCCTATTGTGATAGTTGTGATGGGTTAGTACATAGCGAAACTCATATAAAATGAATCAACGAAACGACAGTACAAATGAAACTGCTTATTTTTTACAATTTATTATTATTATTTACAATTTATTACACTGTTTACTTTTGAAATAAAGGATATTATTATATACTGAGCAGTTTTATTTAGTACTAACATGTCTCTTTTTAATAATCAACCCTTTAGGGATTTCCAGACATCCCAAAAGATTTTTATTTACAATTTTAATCTTAGAGGGCTTTTCCTGATTTTGGCATATTAGCCATAATGTACCTTGGAATAGATCATTCCCAAGTATATCTAACGTCTAAGTACCCATGCATACTAATTGAAAAGTGATGAATATATGGACATCAATTATATTAAAAAATATTTAATAAAGTTCTAATTAAGGCTCAGTTAATACAGTTTGATGAAATCGATATTTCAAATCACTCACTTATGTAGGTAGACCTATTAAAAACTATATCATATTTCATCTGCCGTCAGTTTGAGTACTTAAGAAGGACTGACGAGAATCTCAGTCCTTGACTTGTCAAATGAGCTTACAAAAATACAGATGCATTTTTAAATTCGATTAGGGAGAATGTGTATATGTTACTGTATTATTGATCAAAGAAAATAATTTATCAGTGACAGTAACCCTATCAGTCCAGTCCCCATTAGTGTACTACTTATGGGGACTGGACTGGTATCAGTCCAGTCCCCCATGGGGACTGATAGTCTAGTCCCCATAAGTAGTACAAATGGACTATTAGTCGCTATGGGGACTCGACTGATAGTCCAGTCCCCATAAGTAGTACACTAATGGGGTCTGGACTGATAAGGCTGCATACATTAATCTTAACGTATTATTTAATTTTAATTTAGGTTTAATAGGAAACGTCACATGTATTCTTCCCAATCTCCTACCTACCTTAACATAACTATATTAATATAAAAAATATATATAAGTAAAAATAACAGCGAAAATACATTTTTAATTTAAAATAATAGCATTGAGTAGTCAGAAATATTAACTAGTGAAGTTATGAATATTAACATGGACTTTTATTACGGTGAGTATATTCATGTTATAAAAAATATATTTTGCTCGTTAACCTATGCTTTTGAGCCGTTATGGTAGAGCTGAGAGTATTGAAGTAGGCAAGTTTCTTCTCCATTATATTAAGTAATGATATACTATGTTCAGAAATACTATTTTCGAAACAAAATAAAACATGTGGTATAATTGCAGATATATTGGTATCAAGACAGATAAATAGCTAAATTATTATCTATGAGTAATTAGTAATGGGTAAGCATTGCAATATATAATCTACGACCCTTTTTAAATTAAATTAATTGTAAGTTTATTATGAAATGGTGCAACTCGCCTGCGCTAACAGTCTACGCTGGCGGGGCACCGGTAGTGAATGATAAGATGAGCATGAGGTCAGGTCAGTTAGCCCATCGTAACAAATTCACCAGTAATTTATTTTTTTATTTAACTTTAATGCACAAAAACAATGTGTACATATGGCAGACTTAACAACATGCGGCGTTATCTACCAAGCAACCATGAGTGGTGCAGAGAATGATTGTTGGCGGTGCACTAATATAGATGAGAAATGTCAAAAAAAAGATATATATAAATAAAAAGCAAAATAATTTAAATAAATTTCAATAAAAATTAATAATAATAATAAACATACATAAATTAATGTATAAATATAAACATAGATATATAAATAAATACATAATGATTTGATAATCAAATTATAAGTACAGCCTCAAATTGAAAGTAAGAAAATATATATATATATATAGAGAGAGAGACCTATAGGGAAATAACAGAAAGATGTGTAAAAGGTAGAAAGACAGTAAAAAAAGTTACAAATTTAAATAATGTTCCCGCAATTTCTGTTTAAACGAAATTTTACTCGTTAAAATTTCGTTTTTCTTAATTTATCACGTTGGTTTCCAGGGGGAACCACGTGGAGGTAATCCTGACATGGTACATTATTAGCAATAGGATTATAAGTCCACATTACTAACAATCCCCTTTCCCCCCCAATTAATTGTATGTATGCCTTTGCATATACTTTTACTGACTATTTATTCTCTGATTTAAAATATACTCTATTCAGATTACTTATTAGAATTACAGGCCTAGTGTATTATAATCTTTAAAAAAGTATCAACATTAAAAAGTATTAACATAACTCAAAATAAACTACACTACTGTAAGTATAATATAGTATTAGAATCGTTTGCCTTGACACCTAAAAAAATACCTATATTTATATACAGTGAAGAAATATTGATGAGAAATATTTTTTTAATACATTAAAGTATTAAAAAAAATTAACATACATATTATGTTTTTAAATTGTAGCCTATGTATATAAGCTACATTATTGTTAAGTTTCATTAAAATCCGTTCAGTAGTTTTCGCGTGAAAGAGTAACAAACATCCATCCATACTCACAAACTTTCGCATTTATAATGTTAATAATAAGATATCCCAACATATAAATCTAACACTGTACCCTGTAGTAGGGAATGCATATTATTCAGTAGCAGACTATATATTACCTGATATAATGGGATGTCTTTACTACCTTTAATTAACAGGGGTTGCTTGTTGTCTGTTATTTGACTGCCTTACGAGCGTTCTGCGCCGGAATGTCTTTTCTCTGTATTAATCCGTAGTGTGGCACTGCCGATTCCCAAACGTAATATAGTGGCGTCTACAAAATACAGTAGCGCTCCCAAAATACAGTCGCACACTCAAAACAGTGGCGCACCCAAAACACAGTCACTCAAAACACAGTCGTGAACTCAAAACAGTCGCACACTCAAAACACAGTCGCGCACCCAAAACACAGTGGCGCCCCCAAAATAGTAAAAACAGTATATATAAAAGAATCATAAACAATTCTCGATTTCCAGCACAAAGCTGAGGAGGTGAAGTCGATATTCCTGGAGACGGAGATCCCGCAGCAGTCGCGCGTGCTTGTCGCTGACTTCGCAGAGAAGAGAGCCGAGACGACCGCGCCGACTAAACATTCGCCGGTATGCATTTATATCTTTACTAGTTTATATTTTCTATATTTCATTTAACATTAACCCCCCATTTACCCCAATAACCTATTTAATTTCCATTCCCCTCCCTCCCTTCCAATTCCTTCCTCTTTTTCTATTTTATTACTTCATTGAATTAGTGCTAATCGGTAGTTTGTATTCACACACTTAAACTTAAATTGTAAGTAAGAATACATTATTTAAAAGAGCAACACACAAGTTTCTTACTTGTTCTTCTTGTGATGAGACAGCATTCCGAATGAGCGGTAGATTAAAAAAAATGTAATGACTATTCAAAAGTGCTTCAATGTAAGTTTATTTGAATAAATGATTTTCTATTCTATTCTATTTTATTCAAACGGGAAAAAAAATTCCTACGGCCTGAGCCGAGGTTCGAATCCCTACATTCAGTAAGATTCCCCTAAAAGGGGATCAAAATTAGAATAGTTGGAAAAAATAACTCGTCTACTTACAGCCGCCGGTCAGTTTACTCCTTAGGGGGTATTTCGACTGAAAAGTGAGATGTTTTTTTATATTATGGTTATTTTATTTTATTTTATTTATTTATTTATTAAAGGAAAACCAAGGCTATTCAAGTACATCTTAAATAAAATCAATATATATGTCACAGTAAGCCACTGACAGGCTTTCACTAATAACAATAGACTAATTCTTAAAAAAATTACATCACTACGTATAAAGGCATTATAAAGTTAACAGAGAATATGAAATTAATTAACAAGAGTACAGTAACAAATAGTAAATTTATAGAAATATATACATGATTTTCAATAATAATTAATTGTTATTTAAAGAAGGGCTCACACTTATTTGAGAGAAAAGATTCCGGTAGATTACGTTTGTAAATTACCATAATATTTTTTTTAATGAGCTATAATAAATAGTTTGATGGCCTCGATCGTCTGGTGGTGTAGCACACTGCTATGCTTCCAATGGTTGCGGGTTCTATTCCTCGCACGGTACAAATATTTGTTTGTTTCAAGGTGTTTTCTAAGCATATTATTTAAAAAATAAGTATTTATGTATTTATATCTATTGTCTAGTGCCTATAACACAAGCTGTACTTAGCTTGTGGCTAGATGGCGCTGTGTGAATTGTACTGAGATATTTTTTTTATTTTTCAGTTGGTTGTTAGCGGCAAAATGACATTATCACTTATACAGGACGCACCCAGGGACACGCCAGAGAGGGACCCAGGTAAACAATACATTATATTTAGTTTTTTTTAGTGTAATGTAAAACAAACTAACGCCCGACTAAGTCACGGTGGTTTCTAGGTCTCTTCTGTGTCTAAATACAGAATGTACCTAAATATATTGGCTATTTAAAAAATCAATTCAGTTCTTGCCAGTTCTTCTCAATTGAATTTGTATACTGAACTGGACGGTAGGGAAAAATATTTAATACAAAAAATTCATAAGTTGCTAAAATGTCGTACATGAATAAATGATTGCATGATTTGATTATTATGTAAATGCTAGTTGTTCCCGCGACTTCGTCCGCGTGGAATTTAATTTTATTTATCTAAAATAAAACTAGCCTAAGTTACTCCTTTTACTTCAGCTACCTGCCAAAAAAAGTCCGGTCCAAATCGGTCCAGCCATTTCAGAGACAGAGAGACAAAAATTGTAAAAAATATTATATTGGTGTATGTACCGAATTTTTTATATGCGCGTAGTAAAAAACGGTTATTTCAATATTACAAACAGACATTCCAATTTTATTTATATGTATAGATAATGTAAGATGTATACATAAAATAAATTAAAACAATGTGTATATAAATATTTCAGAGTCGACGGTCGACGATTTCACCACGGCAAGTGCGTTAACACAGCCGGCCGCCGAGGTATGATATTTTTTATTTGTTAAAAGTGTTGCCATCGTAGGTATCTAAAGAATATGTTTAAATTATTTTTCTGTATAATTACAGAAAGAAGAATTATCAGATGAAGAAATTGAAGAAGAGGAGATAGAGATAGAGGAAATCGAGGAGGAAGTAGAAGAAGAAGAGGAAGAGGAAGTGGAAGCGCCTAAACCGGAACCAAAGACAACCACGAAGAAGGAATGAACTGATAGTTGTATGGAACACTGATATAGGATTTAGTCACGAGTCATGATCATTAGAAAAAAAAATTAAAATTAATATTGCTTTTAATAACAACTTAAGTAATATAAGAGTGAAGTAATGATGTCTCAATTAGAATGAAGCGTTACATATGCGGTCTCTTTCTTTGTTAAGCTGTAAGATGGACGCATTTGAAAATGGAATCTTATTTTCTTTTTTCTGGCTCCGGCGAAATTATGGTGTAACTAGCTACTTTATAACCACAGTGCCAAATATTTTTTCCCCTCATACGTCTATCACTTTTTTAATGATGGAACAGGCAAAGATCTTTAGACCATACAGCTTAATTTAGTTTTAAAGTACTTCATGTACAGGTAAAGAAGCCAAAGGCCGTGCCAATATATTTTTTTCCCATATTCGACCATCTCCTTTTCAATGAAGTGCCAATAGATAGTGTGTGGCGCATAATTTTTTTTCAATATTTTTATTGAATTTTTAAATTTTTAACGGCTTTGATGGTCTAGTGGTTTCACATCGACATACTTCTGATGGTTAGGTTAGATTGTTCGCACGATGCAACCATGATTATTTGTATAACCAGTATGATTGTTTGTATTGGTCTGGGTGTTTTCAATATATATTATGTATCTACTAAAATAATTTTTAACAGAAGCTCTGCTTAACTTAGGACTAGATGGCACTGTGTGTATTGTTCAAAGTATTTATATTTTTAGGTTATGGTCAAAGGACATAATCCCATATCAGTGATGTAGTGTAATATAGACTCATGTATAGCATAAAATGATTTAAATCACCACATTTGCTTTTCTATGTATTTATTATTTCTACGTAAAATTATTTGCTCTCTGTCCCTGCTGCTACATTTTTAATATTAATTATTATAAACAGCAAGAGGTATGGTTGTTAAGTTTTATTTTTAAAATTTTATTATTTATGTTCTGTTGTCAGGTATAATGCTGAGTGAGTGTCACTTTCAGTGTTACCAGTAGGTTTAATTTCTAAAAGTTATATATATTATAAACTCTACTGGTATTGATATATTACTGAATAAATGGCATTATTATTATTATTAATTATGTTTTGTACACATTATATTAAAAAGGCTATTTACCGTTATAGTATTATGAACTCCGGATATTTAGATGTTGACCTGTGGCCAGAACGCTAATAGCAGCGTGGTTTGTTTTTTTTTATATTTTTATTGAAGGGTAAATCCTATTGTCGGCTGCTACAGATCTGTAGCACTGCGTCCTACATAGATCTATCTTTTAGATATATTTTTATTTTTATCCAATACTTATATTTTACATTGTTTTCTGGTATCTAAACTAAATAGAAACCTGTATCAGTAATATCTATACATATAAATAAAATTGTTCTGTTTGTAATATTGAAATAACAATTTTTTACTGCATGCATTTAAATATAAATATGGGACATACACCAAAAAACCACTTCTTAAAATTTTTCTCTGTCTGTCTATCGGTCTGTTTGTTCCGGCTAATCTCTGAAACGGCTGAACCGATTTTAACGAGACTTTTATTGGCAGGTAGCTGATGTAATAGGGAGTAACTTAGGCTACTTTTATTTTAGACAAATTAAATTAAATTCCACGCGGACGAAGTCGCGGGAACAGCTAGTTTTATAATATAATGTATTCTATAGTAATCATTAATAATTATTTCTATCAAGACAAATATCCCCTTAATATGACGTGTACAATTAAAAACAAGCGAAAAAAATATATATAATTATATTAGTGAAGTAGAGACTAGACAGCTATTGAATATTTTTTTATTTTATTTATTTTACATTTTGTTACTTAAGTAATAAAGTATATTTTTTATTGACATTAAATGGCAATGTGATTGTTTTTTTTTTATTAATCTCGGTATTTATGAATAGCTTTGAGGTGTAAATTTTATTAAATAGATTCGCTTTTTATAGTTTTATATCCTTGGTTTAGGCGATTTGGTTTGGTTGTACTGTTTATAACTATCCTTTCGTTGGATCAAATCGAAACAAAAGCCTAAGAAATTATAGAACTAAATATAAACATATAATAGATATGGGGCCGTTCAACTATTACGTAAGCACTACATCTTTACTTTGCTTATTTTGGATGACACGAGAGTAGGTGAGTTTAGATGATGATTACGTCATCGCTAGTTATTTACTTTTTTACACGAATGGCAACCCTCACATTGTCTTTGCTAAAAAAACAATACATTAATTGAAAAATGTTTAAGTAAGCATGGGGGAGGGGGTAAGAGCTTTGCTTACTTGTGCTGACAAGGGGGACGGAGGTAAATAATTGTAATAAATCTGCTTACGTAATACTTGAACGACCCCTATGTGATTATAAAAAGAAAGATAAATATTCTATTTAAGATTACAGTCGTGAATATATGTTTTAGAACAGCATAGTAAACATAATTTTGTTTTATTAACTATATAAATCATATCTATGCCATATTATTTAAAAAATATATTTCTTAATATTTGTAACTGTTAATTTGATTTAAATAAAAAAAAAATACAGCGTCTTTATTAAGTGTATTAACTAAGCAATGATATATTGTAATTAATTAATCAATCAAGCCAATCGCCTAAATGTGAATGCTACATTGGTCAATAGATTATTTTGTAGTTTGTGTGTAAATACGAATTTACAGTGTTCAAGTGTGTTTTGTGCCAAATTTACTTCTTGCTCATATTTATTATTCATGAGTCATTAATTGTGTCATCAATCATAGGACTTTCGAGTTAAATATAAATAGAGAAATGATAGAACAATTTTCCAATTCGTTTTGTTTTATCATAAACAAGAATTTAACAATATATACGCCTCTTTTATTTTTTATTCGATCCCTAAGTTTTTGTTCCTGTATTTTGTAATACATATTACACCCTACTCTGTACTCTACAGTGTAACCGCATATTAGGAATTATTTTTTTATTCGATCCCTGATTTTTTTTCTCTCGTTAAATTATAGGGAGAAAAATTTTGTATATTTTAACAAAAGGCAATTAATTTGTCTATGGACATTAGTGATGCTATTTATCAAGTTGAAAATTCTATTCTTAGAATTAATTATTTCGTATGATTATTATTTTGTCTGTTATAATTTCACGTTAAACCACTTCCTATTTGTCTTCCAATTCGTCCAATCGTTTCTAAGTCTGCCAATCCCAAATTTAAAATGTTTCTATTATGTACTTATGAGTCTTGTCTTCATTACCATTTTTTTAGATTGGATTTAAGGTAATTTATAGTAGCGTGAGTTTGGAATTGTATTTATGCATTTATTTATTTGCGGTATAAATATTTTTTGTTTATATCGCAAAGATATAATGGAGGACATCACTATAAATATTTATTATATAAAAATAATGTAAAGTTGAGATTATCAACGAATTATACTAAATTTTGCAAATTGTAATCAAATTTACAATTTATTGGTACTGAAAATGTTAACAGTATAATGAATCCCTATTTTTTTATTATCTCGAAATTAATCCCAAATAACGGAATATTCACTACCATCACGATTCTAATATACTCTCAGTGAAGTTGACCATGACTTGACTACCCCATCTACGCATAGTCGGGAGATATGTTTTTTTTATTATAACTAAAAGTAAGCAAAGCAGCAATACTAAACTATAAATACCAGTTTCTCGTCTACGTGAATAGTTTTTGTCACAAGTTACTTGAAACGGCCATATTTTTTTTATTTATAGATTAGTATGTCTATGTTTCAGTTTGAAGCGTAGAATTTAAAAAAGAATCCAACCTTTTTAAATGTATTCGTTTTATAAAATGAGAATTGGAAATTAAATTCTATACAGCCTGTCCTATTAAAGTCTATGACTTGCATTTTGCCGCGAAACGAAAACGTCGAAATGGAATTGAAAATCTTTTTAAATTTTCATCTAAGGCTAAGACCATATATGTATATGTTCATTCTATCTGGCTTGTTTAAAGTACGGTCTTTTTATGTTTTGTTTTTGTGAATATAATGTACGTACATATCTTCCTAAATATTGTTAGTAGAACTGCATATATTATATTTATGGTCAAGGAAAAAGAATGTAAGTAAAATTTTCTGAAATTTTCGAATTTACGTCATTTAGCTTAAAACATTAGTAAGTAATGCGGCAATGTCGTTTAATTAAGAAATAATGAATAATTTTTGAGACTAGTAAACTTATTACTTGTTAATGTTATAAGATAAACGGTAAAAAGAAACGAATTCTTCGGTAATTTTGACTTCTTTTTTATCTGTTTTTCCTTAACACCACAGATACATTTCATCTGCAAATTTGTGCACCTAGCAACGCGTTTCACATTGTGTCAACTCCTTTAGTGATGCTTGTACATTCCCATTCTCATTTTTATTTATTATAAATCATTTTTTTTTAATACAATTAAATTATAATGAACATACGAATTTAACATTACAATTAAATGTAGAGTTTTCGTTATGGATAATTTAACGATTTCTGTTTTATAGTTTTAAGAAATAAAAACTATTAACACAATATTATTGTTTTATTTGCGATTACTCCTACTCATATATATTGGTACAAATCATTGAGATGTTGAATATACCATGTCAAAGGAAATGTGCTATATTTTGGTGTTTTGAGGTAGATTTTATAGAAAAAGTTGTTTGTTGTCGCCTTTAGAAATTAACATTACTCTAAATATGGAATTTAATTGTTTTAATTCTATCTAATCTGACTCAAATGAAATAATACCTAATTAGATAAAATATAGTATAATACTATTTTATCTATCCTTAGTGATTCTTTGCAGTTAATATTATATCTCTTTTTCATGATATATCTCAAGTTTTGTATCATCTCAAATAATTCCTGTTCACAAAATAAAATGTAATTCAAAGCTAAAATGCTAACTTGTAAAATAAAATTGTACTTTGCAGCTTATATTATTATATCTTATGATATATCTCAAAATAATATTTACCATCCCTGTTTAATTTAATGGATTATTCTAATGAATAATAGAGAATGTATCTCAGGCATTAATATCATTTGACATGGACCTTGGCATGCGACAGTGTGTTTCTAAAGAAAAGAATAGAAAATAATTTACATTTTTTATTATAACACTTAAATTAACAAACTGATCATATTTACACTACCATCTCGCTTTATAAGACTTTCATTTAGAACCTGCAACAATAAAGAAATCATTTAAAAACATAGCATCATATATGTAAGAAAGGTGGAATGCACAAATGCTTTCAAACATTCAAAATTAAAAAGTAATAAACAGATCATTCTATATAAGAAATGAGGAAGGATGGTAGGGAAAAAATTTAAATTATAATGTAAAAATTTGACGTTTATAAGCGGCTAAAATGTCCTACATGAATAAATGATTTTTGAATTTGAATAAGAAGGTAATCTATAAATTTAGGTGTCACTAGTTTTAACCAATTTCTTACAATTTATTATAACTTTCCATTAACATGTTGTTTGGGATCCATAAAATGAAAAAAATACTCCCATAATAACATACTATGTTAATAAAAGTAAACTCACAAGCAATAATTAAAATATTTACAATTTTTTTTTTGGTTCGGTTTTTCCCTTTTTAGGGAAAGGCAAAAGGACTCAGCCCATACAGCCAAATATTTACAATACAGTATTATTCTTTTACAGGCTGTCAAAGAATAAAAAAAATGTACGGATACAAAAGTTCTGTCTGTTAGATTTATAATCTTTTCACTACAAAATGACTGTATAAATATATTAAATAAATTTGATATTAATACATATTGTATAATAAAAATAGACATATACATAGAATTTTATATATATATATATATATATTTGGTGCCACTGAAAACCAGCTGTATGTTATGTTGTAAATCTGAGTGGAGCCATTTCAGTGCATTTTTAGATGTAAATAATGATTACTTTATGTTTATTTTTAATTATCTACATGGTAAATTAAGTTTAATTATATGTACATTTTATTTGCTCTTTTTTTTTCGTTTGTTGTTTATATTGTATTTTTTACATTGCACTGAATAAAATATCTACTTCTAATACCTTTCTTACATAGGTTTTCCTTTGTCTGAAATTATGGGACAGAGGTGTGGATAATAAGAAAAATATATTAATACATAGTTACATACCTGTAGTAAAATTCTTGTATTCTTCCACATCTTTAACTAAACTCCAGTCATGTCTAACAGACTGGATAGTTTTTGTTGCGTGAGGTACATCAGGGAAGAACACCCAGCCCTCATTTACTGCGGTCTTCTTAATTACCGCAGCGGCACCGAGGAGTATAGCTGCTGGCACTCCAAGCGTTATCGACCTCTGCCAAGCTCCGAAAATGGAACCCGCGGCCGCTCCACCAAGGAAATAGTTTATTTCGTCATTCTTGCCCCTCACATTTTGAGCTACATTTGCGGTGACGGTAAACGCTGCTGCCATCCCAACGAGAGGACCAATAATGAATCCATAACGACCTACGGTGTTAATTACTCCTTTAGGATGAGAGAACATAAGCACGTCAAACGAAGCTGCAGCGAGACCCGTAAGCGTGGCATATTTGCTAGTTACAAAGGTTTTCTTAAAAATATCTGAGCCTTCCGGTGTGTCGTAATATTTGTAACTTAACATTGTTTATTTTATTAAATATTATTTTGAGGGAAATAGTTACACAACACCGCAGTAATATAAAATGTAGTGTAAAATTTATTGACATTTCTAACAGTGACAGTGACATTAGAAAATGACAGCGAACCTATTACTGTCAGTGACCATCTATAGGTTATATAGGTTATAAAATGAATATTAAATATTCAATCTATTTTCAATAACTTTCATTGCATGAGTGAAAGGTGAGACAGCAACAAGGTTGCCAGTGAAAGGTGAAAACAACTTGAGATTATTCATTATAGAAATTTATCCAAATTTTAAAGAAATCATATCAATCAAGTCAAATCATTAAGTCAGAATACAGTGCTATAAACAAACATAAATAATTGTCAGTATCTAACAAACAGTCCATATAAATTCTAACAATATTCCAAAAATTGATTTTCTTGTATGCCTGTAGCTGTGGAAATATCAAAATAATTTGGGTGTGAACGCAACGGATAGCAGTAAATTTTGCACATCCGTCAATTCCGTCATTAGTGTCAAAAGTATTAAAAATGGCGGCGGACGGTGACGAAGTGATAAGTGATCAGGAAAAAGTTAGAATTGTATCAGATTTTATTCTCCATTCACCACCTGGTGAGTTCAACGAGGTATTTAACGATGTCAGAGTCCTTCTGAACAACGATAGTCTTTTGAAGGAAGGTGCCAGCGGTGCATTTGCGTCATACAACAAGGACCAGCTCACGCCCGTTCGCCTAGAAGGCTCCGAACTCCATACATTAATAACCGATCATAATGAGCTCGGCGGCGGTAGATTCTTCGATCCACGCTCTAAACGTTCGTTTAAGTACGATCACTTGCGCAAGGAGGCGTCCGAATATGAACCGTATGAGCCAGATAGAGTAGCGGAGCCCTGGCGGGCTGCACTCGACGAAGAGCTGACGGCGTACGTGGCCGCTCACTACAAACACGGTTCTAGCTTAGTAGTGGGTCGGGCGCTCGAGTCTGGAGCGGTTTCACTCGTCGCATGTATCGAAGATCACCAATTCCAGCCGAAGAACTATTGGAACGGTAGATGGCGTTCTCTGTGGTCGCTCACCGTCGGCAGCGGCCCCGCGGAACTGCGGGGTATGCTCCGCGTGCAGGTGCATTACTACGAAGACGGGAATGTGCAGTTGGTTAGCTCTAAGGAGGTGCGAGCGCCTCTCGTGGCTACAGGGGAGGCGGCGACCGCCAAGGAGTTCGTCCGTGTTGTGTGTGATGCAGAGAATGCATACCAGACGGCTATCTCGGACAACTACAAGACAATGAGTGACACAACCTTCAAGGCTCTCCGGCGACAGCTGCCGGTGACCCGCAGCAAGATCGACTGGGCGCGGCTGGTCTCCTATACGATCGGTAAGGAGCTGAAGAGCCAATGATGTCCTGCCGCTGCGCTCTGAGCCGCAGCGGCTGCTCCATGCCTCTGTACATATTCGCGTAAGAATCTTGTTCAAATGTATATGGTCACCGGGGGTGTCCTGTCTCCCGGCGCGTATTTATCTATGAATATATAGAGATATCGCTATCTTAACTGTTGAATTTTATTGCGTTTTGTTACTCTCCGTATAGAAGGGTTACTGGCAAGCATGCAGCACTTTAAATTGGCCCATGATTGGATTACAATTATGTTTTTGGGCAACAATCAATCAACTGTCCATTTTCGTTGGTAGCACTGTACAGGATACGTCGTATGTAGGTGTGGAACTGCTTAGAGCAGTATCTCATTAGCTCTGTAGGACTGACTGAGACATTACGTCTGAAATTCATTAATTTATTTCCTTTCCAAGAATGATTGATTGTTGTGTAAGCAATATAAAGTTATTTGATTGAAAAATATGCATGTCAATTAAAAAAAGTTAAATGAAATCTATTTTATTTATTGTCATAATGTATGATTGATCATACATGTAGAATACTCGGGGACAGTCTCTCCACATCCACACCGTTGCATGTAGAGTGATCAGTATTATTTACATTGTCATTGAGTATTGCTTGCATAACCATGTTATGTGTAAACAGGACTGGACGGGCAAGGTCCCAAATGGTGCATTTAAATTGTAGTTAATTTAATGAATTGTCCACGTAGCTTTAACGCGACGTTTATGAGCATATAGCACAATATATTCATGAATATTATAATACAATTTGTAAACAGAGATACTATGTAATGCGGAGTGTTGCTCAAACGTTTGGTATGTTGAAACAGAGGAGAAACGAAGTTACTGTCCATACATTATGGCTAGAGAATGCGAGTGGTAATGTAACAATTTTTTTTTATATAATATAATAATTATTAGCTTCTATAAGTTTATTTTGTAATTATTATAATTATTTTTAATAAAGAACATACATTAAAAATTAAAGTATTCTGTAATGTATGATTAAATTCATTTGAATAAAAATATATATTAAAATGTTGCTAATGAGTATTTTCTTTCATACTGCTACCTCGTTGACTGCTTATCAGTCTTGTTACCTTAACGATATCAATTGGCAATCACTATCTGTAGTATCATTTCTGGGTACAGAAATTTATCTTAAATCTTGATAACTATTTTTGTATGCATTGCAATGGCCAACAAGCTGATAGCTCACTTGTAGTAAAAAACATATTATTCATCTCTTTCGAAGGAGAGACTGTGTGAAGTATAATAGGAATAATATTATTCCCGCTCCTGATGGAAGGCATTAGAAATAGAAATAAAAATAATCTTTATTCAAATAAACTCAATATAAGCACTTTTGAATAGTCAAGTTTTTTTATTCGGAATGCAGATTCATCACAAGAAGAATAAGCATGAAACTTGTGTGTTGCTCTTTTAAATAAATATTGATTTACTTATATTTAATAACAAGGAATAGGCATGCGACAATCAACATAGAAACAGCTACGCACTTACATTACATAGTACATATATTCAAAATAAAAGAAAACAAAATATCTTTATTCATGTAGGTCTTTTACAGACTCTTAAGATATGTCAAATCTGCCATCAGTGGAATGACTTCCAGATGAGAAGAACTGTGAAGACACTCAGCTCGTATTCATTTTACATACTATAGAAAAAAGTCACCGCTGATGTCTGTTCCCTTACATCTGTTAAACCACGCAACGGATTTTAATGTAGTTTTCAGATAGATAGAGTGACTCAAGAGGAAAGTTTATATGTACAATACATGCATGTTATCTATACATATCAATAAAATTTGAGTGTCTGTTTGTAATATTGAAATAACCGTTTTTTACTACATGCATTTGAATATAAATACAGTACATACACCAAAATAACATTTTTTATAATTTTTGTCTGTCTGTCTGTTTGTTCCGGCTAATCTCTGAAATGGCTGGACCGATTTTGACGGGACATTTATTGGCAGGTAGCTGATGTAATATGGAGTAACTTAGGCTACATTTTAGAAAAATAAAGTTAATTTATAAGCTAGTATATAATATAATAAAAATTTATCTCATATCTGTCTGCACGTGAAATAATAAAAAAATTTGCTTTTTTTATTGCAACTTCTCTCAAGCTGCAATAAAAATAAGCTATTTTTTTTACCTAAATGCTGTTTATTGGTGAGCTTCATCGAGGTAGAACTCAAAATAATGATTCTTAGCATTTTGGATGTGTAAGTTTGTGCTAATCTCAAAAATAGCTTAACCGATTTTATCGCGGTTTTCACTAATGTATTGTGGTAAGCTTCACTTAAAATGTTGTGATTTATTTTCTAATAGTTTTACAAAGTTATATAGTGTAGTACAAAGTCACGACTTCCAATAGTATTTGCCGGGACAACTAGTATAAATATACATTTATACTAGTTGTCCCGGCAAACGTTGTTTTGCCATATAAATTAATATAATGCTATAAAAAAATAGGGGTTGGTGATAGAACGGTGAAAATTTAGGGTTTAGGTAAAAAATACTTAGGTATTTTTTAATGACACGTAATAAAAAAATATAAATAAAACAATTTGCCCAAAAAATAAAAAAATAATGTTAGGGGTCGTCAACCCTTATCACTTAGGGGTATGAAAAGTAGATAGTAGCCGATTCTCAGACCTACTGAATATGCATAAATTAATAAAATTTAATATAAATCGGTCAAGCCGTTTCAGAGGAGTATGGTAACTAACATTGTGACACGAGAATTTTATATAAAAGATATTACTTTAATATATACGGTCACACGAACCATCGTATCATCAGAATTCATCAGAATAGAATAGAAAAATAGTTGTCTAAATATATATAACTCAAAGGTGACTGACATAGTGATCTATCAACGTACAGCCCAAACCACTGGACGGATCGGGCTGAAATTTGGCATGCAGGTACATGTTATGACGTAGGCATCCGCTAAGGAAGGATTTTGATTAATTCAACCCCAAAGGGATAAAATAGGGGATGAAAGTTTGTATGAAACTTTGTCAATTTTAAACTGATCGGGCTGAGACTGCATGCATAACTACTATGACATCCCCTAAGAAAGGATTTTGATAAATTCCACCCCTAAGGGGATAAATTAACGCGAGCGAAGCCGCGGGCAAAAGCTAGTTCACAATAAACTTAAAATAAAGCACTTTTAAACAGTCATACTTATTTTTTTTTAAATCTACCACTCATTGGGAAAGCTAAAGTGTAATCACAAAACGAAAGAGAAAGAAACTTGCATGTTGATCTTAAAAATGATGTTGAGTGATTACAAATTGTCAGGACAAGACGGTCTTCGCAGTCTAGCGGTTTGGCACACCGCTTTACTTCCCAGTCGGGGGTTCGATTCCTCGCACGGTGCAAACGTTTGTATTCATGACTGTAACTGATTGTATTGGTCTGGGTGTTATCTATGTACATTATGTATGTTTTTGAAAAAAAAAATGTATCTATGTACCTATTTATATCAATTGTCTAAATATAGTAGTCATAAACCGGCTCTACTTAGTTTGGGACTAGATGGCGCTGTGTGCGTGAACGGGTGCTGCTTGTAGGGACTGGTCTGCTCTAGTCACTATGACTGATTTCCTCTTATTAATTAACCAGTTGTTGTGTATACAATATTTTTTCTATTTGATTATTTAATTGAATTAGTGCTAATCGGTAATTTGTATTCACACACTTAAACTTAAATTGTAAAGTAAGAATAAAATTATTTAAAAGAGCAACACACAAGTTTCTTGCTCGTTCTTCTTGTGATGTGACAGCTTTCCGAATGAGCGGTAGATTAAAAAAATGTAATCACTATTCAAAAGTGCTTCAATGTAAGTTTATTTGAATAAATGATTTTCTATTCTGTGTGAGTTGTCCTAACATATTATTATTATTAATTATAGTCACAATTACCATTAAACAATGGTTTATTATCCCAAATGTAGCGGAAATGACATTATCACTACTACAAGGATACTAGTTAATTACGTCATAAGTAGTGTGACCATATGAATGAATAAGAACACGAGAATAATATTTTCTTCTTAATGGATGATAATGGATTGGTCCATCGGCTTGCGGTAACGGTTTACGCTGGCGGGGCACCAGTGGAGTATGATAATGTAACAATATATAATAATAATCTCAGGACAATTCACACAGCGCCATCTAGACCCAAGTTAAGCTAGCTAAAGCTTGTATTACGGGTACTAGATAACTGATACAAGTACATAGATAATTTTTTTTTCGTAAATACAAACACAGACCGATACAAACAATCATACTCATGGATACAAATGTTTGTGCCGTGTGAGGAATCGAACCCGCGACCATTGGACGTAAAGCGGTGTGCTAGACCGCTGAACCACCGAGGTTGTCTATTTATATGAAGGCAGGACAGTTAGCCCATTGTGAACAAATTTCCAGGGATTTGTCATGATAGTTTCCAGGGGGAACCGCGTGGAGGTCAATCTGACATAGTATTTTGCTAGCAATGGGTCTTCAGTCCTCATTACTATCAATCGTTTTTCACCCTAGAATAATGCATTAAAGCACTAAATATACTTTTATATTATGATATACTATCCCGCGACTTCGTCCGCGTGGAATTTAACTTTATTTTTCTAAAATAAAAGTAGCCTAATATATTCCTTATTACATCAGCTACCTGCTAAAAAAAGTCCCGTCAAAACTGGTCCAGCCATTTCAGAGATTAGCCGGAACAAACAGACAGCCAAAATTGTAAAAAATGTTAATTTGGTGTATGTTACCGTATTTATATGCATGTAGTAAAAAACGGTTATTTCAATATTACAATAAGAACACTCCAATTTTATTTATATGTATAGATTTTCCTCGTTTATGTTTATGTTACACTAAATATAAATAGATGACTCTAATAAATTATCTTTCATCTCATTACAAATGTAGCAATTTCTGGCAATAATTGGGACATTTTGTAAATAGGACTGTATCACCAAACCGGGGCGAATGGTCACTTTAATCGTTACACACATTGTTGATAAACAACTACAGTGTAATTACGTAAATGACCCGCGTAATTGTAATATTTTTATTTAAACATTTGTTTTTAATGTATTTATTTGTAAACGTTGTAAAGCGACTGGAGATATTAAGAGAATAATGAGAGAAAGCAGGAGTATAAAAGAAATATGTATGTTTTTTTATTTGAGAAGAGAATCCGTGTTGACTATTTGGAAGGACACGATAGCCGGTATATAACGGTTCTTGAGGCTTTTTTTCTTAAAGAGTTTTTTCTTTTATTTTTTTAATGTAAATTTTTTAATTATTTTACAGATTCAAGATAATATTAGATTTAAAAACTAGATTGAGGGCATTTTTATTGAATAAGTGTTACTATTCCGCAGATGATTATTATAACTTTATAATGATGACCATAGACTTATAAGGACCTTATTGCACTATGCTAGCTGACAACTAGATTTATTGCGTTGTATTATGTCGTAGACGATTTTCTGTAAAGTTCCTATTATCCTATCCTACACAATTTGTATTGTTTTGGATGAATAGATAAATAAATTGCTAAATTGCCCGGTCCTTGGATTTTTTCTGTAATTTAAATGCCGAAAAAGGTTTAGTGAAACATAACTAGCCCTACGAAAAGTTCTGCTGTATCAAATCGCAGCTGAAGTCAATATGTTTATAAGAAATAATGTCAGTGAAACAAATAAGTTTAATAAAAAAAAAAATGCCGCACAAGGCTACTATGCACTATTCGTAAGTGGTAACCGTCGAGCAGAGGTTCGAACCTTAGCGGTGCCCTCAGACTAAAGTCGTATCCGTCAGGCGGGAGTTAGTCAGCCGCTCCATAATTACTTCCGCGGGTTTGGAGTGCCATCTGCACTTGCTCATCGTCCGGTGAAGCTGTAAAAGCCAGCTGCGGCCAACAGCATTAG